AGGAGGTGCCCGGGGAAGCAGCTGCGTGTTGCATCACCCTCCCCGGGAATGCAAGCAGTGTTTCCAAGTTCAAATGCGAATAACAGCACAACAGGCTTTGATTTTCAAACGTAATTACGTAAGTCTTACCCTAAACCCTAAACCACTCCCAAACCCTAAAACCTACTACGGTGAGCATACTTGTGAACTGGGCCTCGGTCAGCAAACCTGATTTAAATGCTGCAGTTGCGAGGTTCGCCATCGATGGCAACTTGATTCAGGTTTCGGAGTTCAGCTGTTTCTTGGAAATTGTCAGCACCTGCATCCTACAACCAAAAACCGTTCAATCGGCAAATGACGCTGTGGGCGCTGCCATTGCGCATGCCTTCGCTTGCCGGATTTGGCGAAAGCGACCTGGTTGGCTGCAGTCGGGGCTTGAGCACCTCTAGATCCGAGGGACCCGGGCTGAAACGCTGTAAAGCGCGTGTGCTCAAGGCAAGCTGCATGAACAATTTGGGAGGGGGAGGAGGGGGAGGGATGCTTCCCAACAAAGACCACGAAGCCCGAAACCTCCCCCCTCCCCTGAGTCCAGCCACGAACGCGGCGTCCAGCTCGTCCCAACTTATCCCATGCGAGTTGCCTGCGAGAAGAGGGGGGAAGGCGGATGAAGTTTGGCGAGCATCAGGGCTTCAGGGTTCTGGGTATTCTGCCCCTAAACCCTAAACCCTAACCCTAAACCCTCCAAAAAGGAAGGGCTCCAGATGGCTCCGAGAGGGCTCAGCTACGGGAGAAGAGAAATCGCAAGGACGGGCCCACGAAGCCCAATGCCCTTCAATTGATCAATTGAGGGTGTGTAGGGTGTAGGGTTTAGGGTTTAGGGTTTAGGGATCTTAACTCATATTAATCCCCTCCCTTCTTTGAGGGTGTAGGGTTTAGGGTTTAGGGTTTAGGGATATTTATGTAAATTCAGGTGCATTCCTTAATTGAGCGGTATGGGGCTCTTTGGGGGGATGTGTCGGGCAAGTCTTACTTCTTTCTTACAGTTCACATTAGAGCTCCGGGGTTCTCAAACCTTTCGGGCTTGCATTATAAACCCCATGACTTGAGAACCCGAACCCATAGCGCTCACCACCCAAGATCCCCAAACGCCTCCCCGAAAAGAGAAACCCTGCCTAAAATATAAATGCCCCAGACCTTAACCCCAAAATTTAAAGGCACCACACCCTGAACCCTGAACCCTAAAAATTGAAGGTCCTCAAAGCCCTGACGGCCCCGCCCCCAAACAAAACATAAACTAAACCCTAAGCCCTAAACCCTAAAGCCTAACCCTGAACCCCCCCCCCCCCCCCCCAAAAAAAAAAAAAGACAGAAAACATGCACAAAGGGTAGAGGCTCAGGTTCGGGCTCATCTTCCAGAGGGCTTCGAGCCTTACCCGGCAAGGCGAGCCCATACAGCAACCCTTAGGGTTTCGGGTTTATAGGGTTTAGGGTTTAGGGTTTATAGGATTTCGGGTTCAAGGTTTAGGGTGTAAGGTTTAGGGTTTATAGGGTATAGGGTATAGGGTATAGGGTTTAGGGTTTAGGGTTTAGGGTTTAGGGTTCCCCCGGGTTGGGGAAACGAGAGAAGCTACCTGGAGCAGAGGGAGTTCGGGGACGGCAAGGCATCAACCCTGAAGACCCTCGATAGGAGGTTCAGGATCTCCTTAGTGCCTAAACCCAAGCTTTAGGAGGGTTTCGGGTTAAAAACCCTAAACCCTAAACCCTCATTCAACCCTCGTGGCAATGAGTGGGCTTGCGGCTTTCGGTGCTTTGACAGACGAGCTCACCGCCTCTGGCGGTTCTCGTTCAGCTGCCGCTCGTCCCTGTCCGGATCACCTCAGGGTGTCAGGTTCGAGGTTCGGGGGACTCCTAAACCCTAAACCCTAAACCCTAAACCCTAAACCCTAAACCCTAAACCCTAAACCCTGCAGGAACGTGAAAGCCACATTCAAGGCATCGGGTCGCCAGAAACTCAAAGAAGAAAGTGCTACTTGGGATGTTTCCCCTTATGCCAACAGTCCTTAATGGGGATTGTAATCGGGGTCCTAGAATCCCTGTTAAGGACAGTTAGTATCAGGGGGAGCATCCCAAGCAGCGCCTTTTGTCACTCTGGGACTGGCACCCCAAACCCTCAAACGCCTGTTCTGAGGCTGGAGACCCAAACCTATTTGCTTATACTAAGAACCCCCCCAAAAAAAAAGCACAAATGTTCTTTCTGAATAAGGGTACAAAAGGGATTATAATCTTCTATTTTCTTGGAAGTTTTTAAGCAAGCAGTAAAACCTCTCAAGACCGAAAACCCCACGAAGCTACCGCGGTCCCGGCTGGATTGTTCCTCGCCGATCGAATCCCTCGGCGTCGGATCAGCAGCTCTTCTTGCTTTAGGGTTTACGGTTTAAGGGTCAAAGGGTCAAGGGTCAAGGGTCAAGGGTTTAGGGTTTAGGGCTTAGGGTGTTCTCTCAGGTTTAGGGGTCTTTTGGGCGCAGGGCTTTGTGGACCCGACCTTTTCGGCTGCAAATGCTGTGTAGGGCCACTGTGTAATGGGGGGTGATTGAAAGTTCGTGGGATCCGCAGGGGTGCTCTGATGGCACAGCTTACCGGAAAAAACTTGGGCGAAAGTTCGGCTTTTAACTATGGCTAAGGCATTCGGCCTTGTCCTTGTCTCCTGTATATAAAAACTACACCACCGAAGACCCCAAACAGTCAGAGGCACGTCAAAGAAACGGTGGAGACAACGGGAGACAAAGGGAGACGAAGGGAGACAAAGGGAAACGAGGAGCACAGCAACCCGGCAAAGCCAAAGGGAGACAAGAAGCCCAGGAACCCGGCAAAAGTCCTCAGAATGTCGGAAATCATTAAATGAATTTAGAACCCCAACAGTAGACTGTTTGGGGGAAAACAATCAACGACATGTCTGGGAGGCCTTGATCCTAAACCCCAACATCGTAAAAACCCGTGCAACCTCAAACCCTAAACCCTTTTACATCCAGGCCTCTGAAGTCTGCCGGGTAAGTATGCCCTAAACCCTAAACCTAAACCCTGAACCCTAAACCCTAAAACCTAAAACCACTCTCAAAGCCACCCTCTTGGCCTTGTCCTACACAAAGACCTTACGAGGTCCCCACCCCCGAGGCCGCACGAAGGGACGGGACCGATGGTCGTGCAAGGCCGGATGTGGCCATAGAACCTTAGGGGTACAGGTGGCTTTAGGCTTCAGGCTTTAGGGGTTTAGGGGCTTGGGGTTTAGGGTTTAGGGTTTAGGGTTTAGGGTTTAGAGTCATCCCCAAGCCATTCAGCTGCCATACAGCTGGTGTTCAGAACCCTCAAACACGAAAGCTGGAAAACCCAGAGCTTAACAAATAGGAACAAGACTGAGTTTGTCAGCCCCCAAAAAGTGTACGCTTTCAGTTTTATAGGGGGTTATACTGTCCCAAAAGTGTAAAGTGTGCTCGCTCAGCTACTAACCCTAAACCCTAAACCCTACTGCCCCCCTTTCCCCTCAATGCCTCCCATTCCGAGAATCTCCTCCCATCGTTTCACCCCTAAACCCTAAACCCTAAACCCTAAACCCTAAACCCTAAACCCTAAAGAAGGCCAACCGAAACCACAAGCAGCAAAGAAAAAGGCAACTGAGAAGAGGGCATTGGGCTCAGGCCTTGGTCCCAAGGGCAAAAAGATTTGCCCACAGCTGACCCGAATTTGAGGGTTTAGGGTTTAGGGTTTAGGGTTTAGGGTTTAAGAGATTAAGGGTTTAAGGGTTCCAGGGTTTACGGAAGCTGCCTCAATCGCGGTCTTCTTGGTTTTTTTCGGTTCAGGGATCAGGCAGGCGTTTGCCACCTGCTTCCTCGTCTTGTGAAAGGTTTCGAATCTTGGCAGCCGGCCGTGTCTCCTAAGCCCTAAACCCTAATCCCTAAACCTTAAACCCTAAACCCTAAACCCTGAACTCTAAACCCCTAAGCCTCCTTTCCTGAGACTCCGGCTCCATCTCGAAACCCGAGCCTCCGCCCCAGTTCGATGGCAGGCCATCGGACTCCTCGCACACCACTGGGTTTAGGGTTTAGGGTTTAGGGTTGAGGGTTGAGGGTTGAGGGTTGAGGGTTGAGGGTGTAGGGTTTAGGGTTTAGAGCCAGTTTAGGGTTTAGGGAGGGCTTTGTTGGGCCCAAGGCTTGTGCTGCCCTAGCCACAAACTCTAAGCACGCAAGGCCTTACTTGGGATGTTCCCCCTTATACTAGCAGTCCTTGAAAGGGATTTTCGTACCCTAAACCCTAAACCCTGAACCCTAAACCCTAAACCCTAAACCCTAAACCCCAAGAAGGGGGAACATCCCAAGGCCTTACCATAAACCCAAGTGGACCGGGGTCTGCAGCCCCTCTCAGTAACTGCTTGGTGCAAATAGCTTGGTAGCCCAGTAACCATCTTAAAGTATCTCAGAAAAAGGGTAACCTTTTTTTGGTTGGTTATTTAATAAGGGAACCCAGAACCAAAAAAGTCTTCTTGCAGGACAAGTCGGACCCGCCGCGGACTCCCCTCAGCAACAACGCCCTCAAACCAGGGCTTCGCCTCTCACACTCCCACAAGGCAGGCAAGGCTTCGGTTGACTTTGGGTCGAGCAGACACGCCGCAGTGCGGGAGAACGACGGGAAACGGAAGTGTTCGGCGTCAGCAAGAACAGGACAACGTCCGCCAGGACTGGCGCTACAGAGTGCTCAGGGTGTTTACAGAAAGTGCCGCTGGTTCAATACCATGTTGAGAGTCGATGCAGCAAGGCCTCTCTTCCTTTTATTCCAAAGCAAGGTGCGACCCCTTTTTGCTATCGTGTCCATGCAATGTGCCCTGTTTGTGAGCTATGTGGTTCATCAGCCATAGGTTAAACGGGGCAGCTAAGGCCACGACAGAAAAACATCATAAACTCAGGCTGTTTGGCCAAAGCTTCGCCTGGGTTTCCCAGAGAGTACGGCTGTTTGGCCGCTTTGTGGGACCCCTAAGATTTAAGCTTCAGATCAGATCCGCTGCTGTCAGCTTCTACACACTTCCAGAATCGCACCATGGTCTCGTTCATGATGCGGGGACGTTGCGTCTCAACCTCAGCGGGCGGCAAAGCAAGCCCGTGATCCATAGATGAATGGGAGATGTGGATGGCCACGCGGAAGAAGCGGAAAAGGTCGCAGGCTTCTGGCTCTGGCAAACGCAGTGACCGCAGGTAGTCGGCTGCATCGGCCACCATCTCGAAGGCGTGTACGCGGTCCTCAGACCTGTTTCTGCTCCCCGACTTGTCCACCAGCCCCAGCATCGCGTGCATGTCAGAAACCAACTTTGGCATGGGAATCTTGCGCGCCAGCAGCACAGCACTGTCCGAGAGCTGATTGGAAATACGGCGCCATTCCTCCTGGCTACCGGACATCAATGCCGGTACATGATTTTGATACACAGTGAACTGGCCATTTTCCGGCAAGTCGCTGGAAGCTGGGAAATGCAAGGGCAACGTATCCTCGCCGAAGAGGTGAAGACAAGGCTCGGCTCTCCAACCCGAAGCTTGAGACCCAAACCCCCATATACCTGAACTCCTCAAGCCCGAAACCCTAAACCCTCCTTAAACCCTCCCAGCGGGTTCAGCTACGGAGGTGGCGTTGGTCGGTATTTACAGGGTTTGCTTCTGGTCTATAGTCGACGCACATGCCGGCAGCATGTCCAGGTGCCCTTTTGCGTGTTCTGAGGAGATTGCAACACCGACGCAGATACCCCTTCCCCCCCTTCTCCCTGCTTTCGTCAAATTTCACGTCCGCGAAGGAACGCAGGCCAAGTTTCCAGGCAAAGCATGCAGGTGGAGGGGACATGCGTGATGCGACTACGCTGGGCCTTTAAGACTCGTAAAAATCCTCCCTATACGTGAACCCATCTCCTAAACCCTACAACCCCTAAAGTCCTCGACCCCAACCAACCCTAAGCCCTGCACCCTGATCAGCCCTAAACCCTAAACCCTAAACCCTAAACCCTAAACTCTGAACCCAACACCCTGTTTGTCAAACATACCTTGCTGGTATCTGCGAAGTTCAGCCAAGACATGGCCACTTCTCTCAGCTATCAGAGTTTAGGCTTTAGGGTTTCTAGGGGGTGACTGCATGAGGCCACATGGTGTTTACTCTTTGTTTTTCGAATTTCTTTTTTTGGGGGGGGGGGGGGGTTAGGGTTTTGCGGGCTTACAGTTTTGGGGCTGCACAAGCTCTTCACGCCGAGGCTCATAGTCGCTCATCCAGCCGCCCCCGGCTTCCGCCATGGCCAGATATCGAAAGTAGCACATCTTCTCGTACTCTGCGTTTTCCCCCAGCGGAATCCGTCTAAACCTCAAGAGGAGCTGCTTGTAGAAGGGGGACTTTTTGGCATCTGCAAGGCCAAGAACCCTTGTTCGCCAGCCTGCTTGCTGCCAATGGTGCGCCCAAGCAGCCAAGGTCTGCTTCCTTGCAGGCTCCCGGTCGTCCTTCGCACTTGGCTCGTAGAACGTGCTGATGATGCCGGGTGTCTGTGTGTTTGGGACGAGCCTCTTTCGCCAGTCCACATCTAGGGCCGCAGCTCGACATGGGTCTGATCCCGCAGCGGCACAGTAGGGTGCCTCAGCCCTTCGCCCGCACAAGGTCGGACACGTGAAACCCAGCGAGGCCGAAAAGCGGCACACATCGCCATGCTGCGACTCATTATGGACTTCCAGCTGCGTCTTTCTGGGGCATGGCTCCGGCGCCCAAGATATCTTCGAGCTACAGGATGCCCAGTGATTCCAAAGATCAGGCGAGAGCCCCTTCTGCATCACCGAGTTGACGTAGCTGGCAATCCAAGATGGGTACGAGGTCGTCTGACAAATAGCCCCGTGCTCCGTGACGCTCTGCCAGGCGCTGACCTGTTGATCTGTAACAGAAGGGTCCATTTGCAGAAAGCCCGCCAGCGCCTGCAGAGTCTCACGCGGCTGCAAAGCCACCGCCTCATACAGAAGCACAAAGGATCCGGGCTGCTCTGAATGTTCGCGATGCCGAGCCTCCGTCCAATTGACCACTGCCTGAATGTCTTGGACAGCACACTGGTACTTGCTGGGACAATCGCCCTGGCCTCCTTGTGATGTGACCCGTGGTGTGACCACATCACGGGGATCACGCAAGATCAGGACAAACAAGCGAGGGTCCACGGCAACGGCTCTCCTTTCACGAATTGCCATGCCGCGCTGCATCTGGCAATGGGCCGTCGGGCATTTCACCCTCCAGCGGCAGCCTTGCCTCATAACTTCCTCAATTGCCCTGCAAACTGCCCTGCTGTGACTTCCGGCATGTGTGATCAATACAACTTCTGTTTCAGGGATGAGGCGATACAGAATAACACACTGTAGCAGCAGCACGGTTGCCAAGAAGCCAACAGCCACTCTGCGCAAGCTGAGGATATGGCACATCACCGCAGGGCTGCCATCTAGTGCTCCGACTAACGGTCCGCAAGTCCACAATCTACGTGGCATCCACCTTAACGTGAGGTAACATTATACCAAGCCCTAGCACGACAGCCGGTTTGCCGGCTCCTATGTAGGTAGGACTCATGAGTACCATGCGCGACAGACGCGTCCGTGTACCGTCTGCTCCTCACCAGCTGCAAGTCGTGCATCCCAGTCCAGAGAATTTAGAGGAGCCTAACATCCCACATCCCCAAACTCCCTCGTCAATGTTAGCCTCGACAGGAAACCCTCCCTTCAACCTAAACTCCCTCAACCCTTAGCCCTAAACTCCCCCCAACCCTCCCCCCAAAACCCACCCCGAACTCCCCGAACTCGGCCCTGAACACAAATCCCCTTGCAGCCGACCACGGGCTTGAGCTGACCACCCTCAAACCCCCCAAAAAAGCTCACCCTTTCGCGCCCGTTCCACTATGACACTATGAAACCTTGCCTAGCCCACGAACCATGTTGCAATAAGGGTGCCCTTTCTTTGGGGTGGGATACTCTTTACGGGAACCTTGAGCCCGAAAAAAAAGGCAGAAGGGTACTACTGGGCTACCAAGATGCACCCGAGATTAAACCCTTTTTCCAAATCAAACCCTAAACTTGTCACCAGCACTGTTCTTTGGACAGAAGCCAACATGTAAAGTGTGCAGTGCTCTTGACGAGAAATCATAGGACACAGACTCCTCTCTCTCTCTCTCTCTCTCTCTCTCTCTCTCTCTCACAGGCAAGGCAGCTCCTGTCAAAACATGCGATTTGTCTTTGTTGTTGCTGGGTGGCACAGAGTGAGCCCTGCGTGACCCTGCTGTGGAGCCCGAAGCCCATGCAAGACCTGCCAACCCTAAACCCTAAACCCTAAACCCTAAACCCTAAACACTGAACCCTGAACCCTGAACCCTGAACCCTGAACCCTGAACCCTAACCCCTAAACCCTAAACCTTAAAACCCTCCTCGGAGGGGATGCCGGCCCTCTCGAGCTCCAGGTCCACCCACTCGCCAGCCTCTGCTTTGGGGGTTGAAGGCGTTCGGGAGTTCGGGTTCTGGGGGGAGGGCGAGGTGGTGTTTTTCAACCCTAAACACTCCATGTCGAAGGGTGGGGTGTGCGGGTTTAGGGTTTAGGGTTTCGGGCTTAGGATACAGTAGCTGTACTATTTCGGCCTATTTCGGAAGCATCAGCACATAAGGTGCGGGGTCCGTCGGATCTAGCATCCCTTGATGCGGCTACTTCACTCCGGTCACTGATGAGGTCAGCCAGTTCTCAGGCGCTTGCCGGGCACGGACTCTGAGTCCTCCAGTTCAGACATTGCACTGAGCAATGCGTCGCTGGTCGCCACAGCCCCAAAGACGCCATGCTGCATCTTTACTTGCTTTAGGGCGGAGAAATGGGTGTCGCTTGCCGTGGTCCCAGTGCAGTCTGACAGCAGCAGACACTCAAAGCCACGATCATTCGCTTGGCGCAGGGTGGTGTGGACACAGATGTCGGTCGGCACACCCATAACCACAAGGTGCGTAACGCCCATAGCGTGAAGGCTCAGCTCCAAGGAGGTCAGATGGAAAGCTCCATGTCCACACCTGGGTTGCTGTTAAGGCTGCTAAGGAACTTAAACTGAGTCACCACAGTAAGGAGACATACCGAGCATTTTACTGCAGGGTCCTCAGCTGACGGTAACTTAAGCTGAAAACTTCTCCACAGCAATCCAGACACTTCTCGACCACGGGCTCGTCCGGGAGCGGCGAGAGCTGCGAAAGGAACTCCCAGCCCTTCTCCTGAGCGACTTTCTAGGGGTTATACTTTGGACCCTTAAGTCTTGGGACCCTTTTTGCAGATCCCTAGGGGATATATAAGGGCCATAGTTGGAGTACATTAAGGGGAACCTTTGGGGTACAACCTGAGGGGTAGTAGTCTTCATTCCCTGAGACTTGGCACGGCTTCGAAGACTCAACGGAGACGTATGGAAAAGTAGAAGGCTGGGACCCTAAACCCTAAACCCTTGTGAGACTTGAGAAGAAGGCTTAGCAAACAATCTTACACACATCGCAATGCCCCAAACGAAGGCCAAGTTGCCTTGACAGAGTGGGTGCAGAACACATCCGCTGGAAGAAAACGCAGATGTTCTTCCCCCGAACCCTTTTTGGTCTTAAACCCTAAAGGGTTTAGGGTTTAGGGTTTCGGGTAAGTAAGCCCTAGTGCCCGAGGGTTTGCAAGCAGCCAGTGAAACCCCAACTCTACCTACCTAAACATCTTATCCTGAAGCCTGAAGCCATCAACTCCTTAGCACCGGGCCAGGAACCTCAAGATTTTTATTTTCGTGTTTTTGAACCCAGGCCCTCAATCCTAATCCATACTTGGAGGTTCAGGGCACGTGTTAGCCCAATACTAGCTGTACTCATCACCCAATTCTAACCATCTAAACCCACAACCCCCTAAACCCTAAACCCTTTACCCTAAACCCTAAACCCTAGACCCTAAACCCTAAACCCTAAACCCTTTTTTCTGCCAAACCCCCACAGTTCGAGCCAGGAGTCGCCCCGGACGAGGCACCGGCCCAAGGGGCCATCCGCCCCGGCCGGAAAGCGCCGCCCGCGCTGCGGGCAGTCCGCGAGATTCCTTGAAGCGAAGTTTAGGGCTTAGGGCTTAGGGTTTAGGGTTTAGGGCTTAGGGTTTAGGGTTTAGGGTTGAAGGTTTAGGGTTTAGCCGTGAAGCAAAGTCTCGGGTTTGGGGTTGAAGGTTGCTGGCACCCGCTGGACGAACCACACCGCTCAGGGATTGCAAACCCCATGAACCCCCCCTGAACCCTGAACCCTAAACCCTAAACCTTAAACCCTTAACCCTACCATGCACCCCACAAACCCTGCAAAAACCCGGAAGCCTCAAGTTCCACCCAGGTGGCGGTGCGAAACCCGTCCTCACGTGGACAACGCGAAAGCCTGTGGCGCGCATGCGCTGCAGCACCTTTCCAGACTTCTCCTTGGTGCTTGTCTGGCCTTCCATACTCCCCCCTATAATAAACACCAGAAAGTTGGAACATCAGTATCCTCATACCCTTTAAGGTGACAAGTGAAGTAGAGGGAAACCCAGCAATAATCATCCTACACCCATGTTCCAACTTTCTGGAGTCCACTATAGAACACCCAATGCAACCTGCGGCTTGCATGGGCAAAAGAAAAACGCAGAAGATTCTGGTTGCTGACGCTGTACAGGAAGAATGTCTTTACGTGACTGTTCTGCTACTGCGGCCAGGCGCCAAGAACAACTCAACAACCCACTATAAGACAATGTGAGGGTTTGGGGCCGACAAGGTTTGCTCAAGATCACCCACGTCACAACCACCGCAGCAGAGGAGTCGATCGCATGGCCAGCTTTGGGCAGGCCTCCCTCTGGTTCCAAAAAGTCCTGCTGCTATCAAGGTGTGTCGTCTGTTTGTGGGCATGTGCAGGAATACATCGTATTCCTCGTTACAGTACCCTTGTAAACCTCCTGACGACAATCCCCATATACCTCCCGCATACATCCTTCTGGAAGTTGATGGCTACAAGCGCTGTCTTCTCCGGGCGCATGCCACCGTCGAATGGCCATGCATATGGATCGGCGGCAACGGCTCCCTTTGCCGCAGCCACCTTCGGCGACACGAAGGTATCCGAAATGGACTTGGGCATCCAAAGGCCAGTCGGAGGTCTCGGCATGCGCACCTTGATGCCGCTGCCGACTTCGAACTCCTCAATGTTTGCCTCCAGTGATGTGGGGCAATCGACGCCCATGGCGCGCAGCAGGTCCGCAGTCGAAGCTACGCAACCGAAAGCACCCCCATAAGCCTGCGTGGTCTTCAGCGTCGCCAGATAGTTGCCATAATCCGTTGCAGCCGTGCAGTCCGAGAGCAGCAGGCAATCGTATCCCAGGTCGTTTGCTTCACGCATGGTGGTGCTCACACAGACGTCAGTGGTGATGCCGGTTAGGACCAGCTTCTTGATTTTCCTCCCACTGGTTTGAAGCAAGAACTGCTACTACAAGCAGTCAGTGGTCTACGCAGGGTGCATTAGCTATACTACCCTTAGAACCTAGATCCTAAACCCTAAACCCTAAGCCCTAAACCCTAAACCCTTCTCTAACTTTCGTAAGCCGAAGTGCTTCTTCCGGAGCATCAGATGCAGGTCGGTCGCCACGAAGGAGCCCTTGCCGGGCTTGTCCAGGACCTCCTCGCCCTCTGCAGGCTGGAGCTCCTGTATTTAAAGGGTTTAGGGTTGAGGGTTGAGGGTTTGAGGGTTTGAGGGTTTGAGGGTTTGAGGGCTTAGGGTTTAGGGTGTAGGGTTTAGGGTTTAGGGTTTAGGGCTTGGGGTTTAGGGCTTAGGGTTTAGGGTTTAGGGTGTAGGGTGTAGGGTTTAGGGTTTAGGGTTTGGGGTTTAGGGTTTAGGGTTTAGGGTGTAGGGTTTAGGGTTTAGGATTTAGGGTTTAGGGTTTGGGGTTTGGGGTTTGGGGTTTGGGGTTTAGGGTATAGGGCTTAGCACCCCGCAGAGTTTTCCTGGGGCTTCTTGCCTTGATAGTGTTGAAATGAGGATACCGCAATGGTCTTAAGTGAACCGAACCCCGAAGAGAGAGCGTAGCACGCGTAACAAGGAAGGGAACTCCACATGCGTCATCGCCCCCCTTCAAGTAGATGCAGCCGAGTTACTCAAAGTAAACCCTAAACCCTAAACCCTAATCCCTAAACCCTAAACCCTAAGCCCAAAAACTCCTATGTTTAGCCAAAGGAGGGGCCGAGTGTGACCCTGTAAAAGTTAGATCGTCAACCACACACACATCCCAAAAGGAGAGCGCCGCCCCAGAACCTGGTACTATCAGAACTACTAGACAAAGGGGGAAAAACATGCTTCCCTTTCCCCCAAAACCGTAAACTATTCGATAAACCCTGAACCCCAAACCCTAAACCCTAAACCCTATACCCCCAAAGCACCTCGATGAGGTTCCAGCCGGGCTCGCCGCGCACCAGGACGCGGCCGCAGGGCCCCGGATCGCCAATCCCCGCTCCGATCTGCCTGCGGTTTTAATGGTTTACGGCTCTTGTGTTTTAGGGCTTCGTATGGTTTAGGGTTTTCTTGTGTGGCTTAGGGCTTTTATGCTTCAGGGATTTACGTTTTAGGGTTTTGTGGTTGGTTTCTGGTTTAGGGTTTAGGGTTGTCCGGCTTCGGGTGCTTTTCGCTCCTGCGCCGCCGGTTTGGGCTTTTGCCATCCGCAGGGTTCTTGTTCAAGCCACCCCCCTCGGTGACCCCCTTGGGACTACTCCGCAGGGAACAGCCGTGGATCTCGTACAGTGCTGGCTTTGAAACACAGACGAGCCGTTCAGACCTCAACACAACCTTTTACTACAAAAGTAATCGACGACGAGATGGAGGGGATCATTCGCAGTATCAGGTTCCGGACGTGCCTCAACCCCTGTCACGTCGCGTGCTTCGGGCTAGACGTGTGGGGATGTTAGGCCACCGAAAAGTTGCATCCCTTTAATGCTTGAAAAACGTTTCGGGCTTTACGAGGATGTATACGGTCAAAGAACACCACAGCAAATCACAAGTCACAATGTGCACCATTTAGGTTCCCAAGCCGCTAACAAGTACACACGTTAAGTATACTATACAATGAACTATTGTGGGTTTAGGGTCTAGGGTTTAGAGTCTAAAGACCATACTCGAAAATGCCATAACGCGCGAGCTACCATCGGATATATTTTTAAGATCACAGAGGTTTTGAAACAATGGGGATCGAGTACTTAGGCCTTAGCCCTTTGTTTAAACCCTAAACCCTCAACTTTAGAGTGTTGGGTTTTCAGGTACCCCTAAAACCCTTTTTGAATTGGGGGTCCAGCGCCGTGCAGCTTTGGATCTCGCATGACCTCGTATGTATTCTAGCATGGTCAAGCAGATGGCAGCAGATTATGGTGTGTGATGCTAGTACTTGGAGGTTCATGGGTAGTTATAAGTCGGGTTACAAGTACCCTAGATGGGGTTATAAGTTCAGTTACAGTACCATATCGTGTCTTAGTATATTGTCTTGCGAAAGCACGTTATCCTTTGCTATTGCATAGCATTGTCTGATGCTCGGCTTTATCGTAGATGATATACATATGTTGCCGTCTATCTCTTTTTGGCCTCTTGGGAGAACTTCGGAGCCTATACACCGCCTCTGACTTGAGGGTTTAGGCTTTATCATTTAAGGGCCAGGCCGGCCTGGAACGCCAGCGCTTGTTGTCAGGGCAGTCGGAAAGGGAAGGCTTGTGGCCCTCGCGCGTGTGGATGATGTGGAAGCCTTTGTCCCGGAACGCCTTGAAGAGCACCTTCAGGGGCTCGATCGGAGCCCGCGTCATCGAGATGTCGTAGCCCATGCTGTCGACATAACCCCCTTTGCCGCAGAAGTCGATTTGCATGTCCTTGGCGCCAGGCGGTTGGGGGCTGAAGGGCTTGTACCTCAACCCCAAACACGAAATGCCTATCAAACAAACCCCAAAACAAAACCTCAAACATCTTCAAAGGTGTAGCTTCCGAAATTTGGGTCCCTTCACAAGGGATCCCTTTAAAAGGGACCCTAACTTAGAGAACTGCCCCCAAAAACCTCCCAAGACCCTGAGGGCAACCCTAAACCCTAAACCCTAAACCCTGAGGGCAGCCCGGCATCGATGGCCAGCAGCGCCGTCTCCGCGGGCTCCAAGCGGCCATCGGAAGGCCAAGCCAGAGCACCCCTCGCCCGCGCCATGGCCGGGACGTTTGTGGGGGCCGCCTTCTGCACACTTGGGTCTAGGGCTTTTCTTTCCCCTGCAGCTGTTTAGGGTTTAGGCCCTTTAGGGTTCATAAGGCTTCGGATGGATTAGGGTTTGGAAATGGTTTTGGGGTTCAAAGGGGCCCAGGGTTTACAAAAGAAAGAGGCTTTGGATTCAGGTTGCAAGGGCATTCCATCTGCAGCTGTCAAGGCTCCAATAGTGCCTTGCACATGTGTGTGTGTGCATGCCATGGGTTTGGAGATACTTTCTGGCATAGGTCCGCCATGCCCCGAGACGCAAAGGTGTTGAAACGAGGCGGAGGAGAAGCAGGCCGCGCCCCAAATCCAAAACCCCAAAGAAACAAATATGAATCCGACCCCCCCCCCCGCCCTTCTAATCCTAGAGACTGAGCCTACACCCTAAACCCTAAACCCTAAAGCCGATAAACCCTAAACCCTAAACCCAAAGTTCGAGGCGCGGGCGTTGCGCCAGGTGGCGGGCGCTAGGTCGGCGCTCTTATGCAAGTGGCGCCCAAAGAGCCCTGCACTCGACTGGGGAGGTAAAGTAAGGGTTTGGGATTTAAGGTTAGGGTTTCGGGTTTCGGGTTCAGGGTTTGGGGCTTAGGGTTTAGGATTTAGGGTTCCAGAGGTTTGAGGGGTTCAGGGCTTAGGACGGCCCTCAGCCTACAGGAATATGCTCGTATTTCGACCCCAAAAGTGCCAGGAAGTTAGATCCCGTCCTGGTCTGTCCTCCTGTCGTTGCTTTTCACCCTGGACTTTGTTTTGGCTACTGCGTCTGATGGCTGCATGTTCTGCACTATGTCCCTCTTGACCTGCCTCCTCTGACGTCATGTCTTCTTGTCGGCTAGCGTCATGTTCCCACATGCTCTTCAAGTCTCCTGTTCTTGCTTTTCCCACTCTTGTACACTTGCATCTTCAACTCCTGTGCTCCCATAGGGTTGAAAAAAGTACCTTGCTGCATTCTTACGACTTCCGCCCACCGGAAGCCTGCCTCCGCGTGGCAGCTGCTCCTCATTCTCTACGGCCTCCCGCACTTTCGGGGTTCAGGGTGTTGGAAGAAAGCGTGCTTCCAGGAACCTGACGAAAGGTTGCGGGGAGGACGAACAATGCCAGTCCCGGTTCAACCCCCTCAACCAAGCTTGCATGCACCCACCTGCTCTTCGCCGGAGTCCTGCGCGCCCTGAGGAGGGTTTTCTTGGGCAGGCGTGCGCATGTCACCACACTCACGCGAACGGTTCACGCATTTCACACGGACCACTGCAACAGAACGGGGAACGTCATAAGCAATGGTGCCGGTAGCTTTATGATTGGCGAATCCTGTTATGATACAGCCCTATCAGATCGAGGACCTAGAGCGACCAAAGTTGGAACACAGGCGGGGCTTCTGCCACGCTTGCCTCCTCACTGTCGGTGGCGGGGTCCTGCGCTGCTCTGCTGCGCTTTGAGGGTGTAAGGGCTGGAGCTTACAGCGCTCGATGAGGTCTCATGTTCGGCACATCGCCGCACCAACAGTCCCTGCCAGTTCCGGCTTTTCGTCTTTTGATGGGTCGCGAGCCTTGCCATCGTCAGAATCGCCAGCGCTGCCCTGGCCAACAAGTGCTGCTGCGAGGCTTGGCTCTCAGTTCTCAGTCGGCACATCGTGGAAAAGCAAGCTTCTGCGCAGGTCCCTAGAGAAACTGGGGGTGAGGGGGGGGGCGAAGGCCAATATGGCCCAAGATTGTATAGGACTGAGGGGCTCTGCTGCCAACATACACTGCTGTTTCTCCCGCACGCGCTTTGAGTGGTAAGCGAGGTCGCAAGAAGCAGGAACTATAGGGTCTGTAGCACACTGCACGCAAACCACATTGGCCTGCACCGGTCAATGCAATGTTTTGCTTTGACCGGTGCACTCCTATACACATGTCTGGCGATCTGTGTGATGCTATAGCAGCTGCTGCTCTGGTTCGGAGCATTCAAAATGGGCTGTCTTGAAACATTTCCTGTGCTCAGGAACTCGCACCTCTGTAGCAGCAAGGACCACTTGCCCTGAACACGGGCATTTCCACGAGCTGAGCCACCAAGCAGGTATCTGAATTTCATGCCACCCCTTTGACATTTAGGATCTGCGATGCTTTAGCCGGAGGGCTCGCAATCGTCTACCATTCCGAATTTCAACCAAGCATGTACTTCTGAATCCGCAGTGCCGTTTTGCCAAGTTAGGGCCGCACCAAAACTTGCACACTCCGTCCTCATAGCAGCAGCGCGCCAGCCTGGAAGCTGTAGCTAAAGCAACTGAAGCCAGGAATGCTCGCCGTAGCACGGATTGGCCGTAACCAAATTTCACATCGGCCAAGGCTGAACTCAATACCCTGACACAGTGGCGCAGCCGCGCATCTCGCCTTGCAATCTTGCAGGGGCCTTGTCTTCCCCAGCGTGTAGTAGCTGTCCATGTTGTCGGTGGGCGAGTCCCCACGGCAAGCACGGCCAGCGCCTCAACGTCAAGTTGCCATGGGTTCTTATACAAAGAAATAACATGTGTGCACACATCTGTGTGTATATGAACATGTTTATCTACATGTGTGTCTAAGTATGTATGTATGTATCGGAGTCGAGGCAACGCGCTGCTAAAATGACCCGAGCACCACCACCCATGGCCACGAGGTGCCTCGTTGCCCATCCATAGCGCATGCACGAGAATCCGTCGATCTGCTTTGTGGCAAAGATGCCCTCGGGCCTTGTCCTTGACTCCCCCTTCGAAACCTTAATAAGAATACTATTTTTTTAATACATCCTCTTTTGGGTTTTATGTAAACAAAAAAACAAAAAACGATTCCCAAGGGGGATAGGGATATAGTGTCCAGATCTCACATCGGCCGAAGCTGTACTCAATGCCTTTGCAGGAGGCATCTTGAACGCACAGCGCCTTGCAATCTTCAATGCTGGTAATTCGCTGCGGCACTACCTGGACTCAAACCAGCTTCCGTGTCACTACAGTAGCTCATGACAATGAACATCTCAGGGGTTTTTTCTAAACCTTGGTAAAACAGGTCATCATCGAGAAACTTGTTCGGCAATTCATCAAGGCAGCCGAGTAGTGGCTCGGCGAGCTATCATTGGTGCTGTTTCCACGGCATGCGCTGTCAGACGTTCCCACCATTTCCCACTCCTTCATTGCGGCAGCTTGGGTCGTGGAGGGTGTCGAGGTGGTTGCTTCGGTGGTCTGAGCATCGGTCGTGGAGCTTGTGGCCGACGCCGTCGGACTCGGCTCAGATCGCACACACGTCTGGCACGCGACGCCATCCTTGGGGACGACATGAACCCTAAAGGACTTATGGCCTCAGATACCTGAAAAGGAATTCTCGTGGTCTTGGGTATATGACCCCAAATTTAGGGCTCTTTTGGTCCCCGAGGCCCCACCATCCTGGCAGTAGCTTGCGTGACTGTCACGGACAGCCACAGCGCAGCTGTGGAGTCCGCATCGCGATGGCAGCGATCCAAGGGTTCCGAAAGTACGAAGCCGGAAGGGCAGGTCAAGCTGGAGCGGCAGCACTCTTTTGAGTAGGAGGCAGGGCAGCTTTCTCCAGACAAACATGTCATCTCACCCACAGTTGGGCTTTCAGTGCTGGGAGGTGGCTCCGACGCCACGCACTTGCAGCTGTTGTACCTGAAGGCTCCCCATTCCCACGGCCAGTCCTTGCACTGTTGATTCCATTCGACGGCGACGAAAACGCTTCCCAAATCTACGCACGCGGCTCCTTCCTTGGCATCACAGCTGATCTCCTTGCCACATTCCAAGGAGCCACCATGCCGGCACCTCAAGTAGTAAAGCGTCGTAGTGTACCCGGGGCATACTGCAAGCGGTGCTCGTCCGTCACCACGGGCATGCTTCGAAAGGTTTCAGCCTCTGCCAGGGCGAGGAGGAAACACACAGGATCGGCACCATGATGCCCGGTTTTTTTGGCACCCGGCTAGCCACAGCACTGCGGGGATTCATGGTCGGTCTCGGAAAAAAGAGTAATCACGCCGGGGTTCAGGTTCGGGATGCCCAAACCGCCCGGGTTAGGGTTTAGGTTTTTTTTTTTTAGGGTTTAGGGTTTAGGGTTTAGGGTTTAGGGTTTAGGGTTTAGGGTTTAGGGTTTAGGGTTTAGGGTTTAGGGTTCAACTGCTTGGGGCAACAGTGGCCAGCTGCGTTTGCTCGGCGTTCAGGCGTGTTCAGATGTGTTCAGGGATTGTTTGGGGCCCTCTACCTGAATACCAGGTTATGAATACCTTATGACACCGCATGTATGCAGCAATGTATGGGGGTTTCCGACATTAAGGGTGCCTTGTTGGGGTCCTTGTGATTTTTTGGATCGATATTGGGGGTCCCCTGTGGTCCCCTATTCTAGACTCCCCGTAGAACCTTAATAAAGATGATATCTTTAATATCCTCTCGGGTTTTATATAAACAAAAAAACAGTAATTCCCAAGGGGGATGTAATATTTTCGTAAACCCCATAAAGCAGCATCTGCATCTTGTGCGGGGGTGATACCTCGTCGTCACTGGCAGCTGGCGACTGCGCGGCCTGATGCTCACACGAGAATCAGCTGCAAGACCCTAAACCCTAAACTCAATGGAGCTACGGACAACCCTTCAGCCTGGAACTTGGTGGAACTTGCAAAGTTCATCCGTGCCGCTAGCACAAACCAACATGGACGATGCACAGCCTTGGCATCTGCAGCGGCCACCTCACAGCAGCTCACAGCCATTAGGGTTTAGGGTTTATAGAGTTTAGGCTTGGGGTTTAAGGTTTAGGGTTTAGGGTTTAGGGATCCGAGCTGCCAACGATGGCAACGACCCGCTCTGCTCTCAATCTGCTCAGGTCCGTCGCGGATCTTGCTAGTAACACTCGTGTTAAGCCCAGCACGTCTTCTTTTGCGCCAGCTGACTGCTCGGTGGCCTGGCATGGGCAGCGCGTGCGAGTCGTCCCGCTGCAGCACCAAACACGTGGGCCGTTCTGGGGCATGTTCCCGGCTTGCCGTAAGGCTGCAACATCCTCTGCTGGAGCATCGGACAACCCTGCAGCCTAACACTCAAGAGTGGTGCAATGCTGGAGTTTGCTAGTAACACTTCTGTGCAAAGAACGCCCGGGCGTTAAGGCCGGCACGTTTTCTTTTGTGCCAGCTGACTGCTCAGTGGCCTGGCATGGGCAGCGCGTGCGAGTCGTCCCACTGCAGCACCAAACACGTTGGGCAGTGCTGGAGCATCGGACAACCCTGCAGCCTGGAACTTGAGGGAATTTGCAGCGAAAATGCCACAGAGCCATTACTACTACCTATTACTAACTCCAACGTGGACGATGCCACATCCGCCTTGGAGTCTGCAGGCACCTCAGAGCTCATCAGCTCATCCAACAAGCCAACCATAACAAACGAGTTGCCCCTGTCAAGACTCTGCTCAGGTGCTTTCCACACCATTTATTTATAAAGAGTGACGGATGATATAATTATGAATATAAGTATTGTGATAATAAAATAAAGGATTATTTGATGGATCTTGCGGCTGCCACCGTTAAGGCCGGCACGTCTTCTTTTATGCCAGCTGACTGCTCCGCATCTGCCCCCTTCAAGTCTGCAGCAGCCGCCTCACGGCAACCAAGGAATCACCAGGGGTTTAGGGTTTAGGGTTTAGGGTTTAGGGTTTAGGGTTTAGGGTTTAGGGTTGAGGGTTTACGGCCCAGTTACCACCCTCTCACCCTGCCTTTTTGGCACATGGGGGGGGGGGGGGTTGCTCTACACTCGAAGCTCATACTATGATCTTGGAATGTGTTGGACAGAACAGTACTCCGCAAACACGTCCGAGATGACCCACACAGACTCCTCAACCCAAACCCCAGCTCCCCATTCTAGCGCCGGCCGGGGAGTTTCATCTGCAACCTGTGCTAATACACCATCCCCATTTTACGTTCTTTCATGAGCTTACCCCCCCTCAAGCGCAAGGTTGTCAGGTGTTCTCTCCCTCGCAGACTGGGCTGCTCGCCAGCTTCCGAGCTAAGAAAGGCCAATGCTCTCAGAGCCGGGCCCCCACCGCTAAACCCCAACGTGGCATATTAGGAGCGAGCGCTCAAAGCCCAGCAAAAAATCTGCCAGCTAGTGGCCTGCAAAACATAAACACGTTTCGCAAATGGCCGGGCAACCCACTTTGTTGGGTTGCGGGAAAGATCAGCAGAAAGTGCTCAGCACCTGCTTCAGGGGCCAATCCGTATCGTTCAGAAAATAGTCTCCTGCAAGCGCTTCTGCCGAGCTGGTCAGGATGTCTGGGGCTGGTCGTTGCCGCCAACCTGGTTCATGGTTGGGATAGCATGAAAACTTTAAAGTTCTATTCCTTATTGAGGTTAAGCACCCTAAAAAGTGAAAGAAAATTGTTTCCCAACTTTGACAAAGCAACCTGTCGTGCAAGCATCCAGAAGCTTCTTGCGGCCACGAGCTTGGTAGCGAGCCAGGGCGCATAGACCACCAGGGTCGTCTTGTGAAGGAAAGCTCAGGCCAGTGGTGCGCAGCAGGTCTGCACGAACAAACGTCGCGTCTACCCCGCCCAGGTGAACCAAGACATAGCCCAACGCACGCCCCACATTCCGCAGAGCCGTGATGCTCGCAGAGACCAGGGCCGGGAGCTTGCCCAAGTTCGACAAACATAGCTGATGCACAGGATAGCTGGAATACCTGACAGCCACATCTTCATCATATGGCAAGTCGACACCAAATTCGATGATGACGATACGAGGGCGGTACCTTCCCTCCAAACAGAGCTTCACCCACAAGAGCCACTGGTTCCCGTCGGTATCCAAGGACAGGACATCAAAGGTCGATGGCACCATCTGCTCTTGAAACAAGCTTACAACATTCTCGGGTGTTACCCGGTGCGTGGTCAGATTGATCTCCTGGTTCTGAAAGTTGTCATCTATCATCAAGCCCTGAAAGCCATGGCGGGCCCGAAGGTAGCGCGTGTTGCACTGGTCGCCGAGCTGCGTGCCGATTTCGACGAAATACCGCCTCTCCGGCCCCAGCATTGCCAGAAGCCGCTCCAGAACGCCATCATTCAAGGCAGCGGAAAACACAGATTTCAACGAAGGCTCCCACAACGAAAGCGGGCCCAAGTCTCCCGGTGCAGCGCTTGCCCACACCGGCAAGCTGACGTTCGATTGAAGCCTTCGCTCTCGCCATCGCAGCTGCTCCTGAAGGCCGGCTTGCAGGGCCATGAGCGCACGCCAAGCCCCCGGAAGTATCACCCCTTCGCTCTGGGTTCTGGGGAAATGCTGGGTAGCTTCGATCTCCGCTACGTTTGCTTTCCTCATGTGCATCTCTGCCAAGTTCGGCCGGATGTCCAAAAAACGTCGTGCGTTAAATACGTGTGCCATCACGCGAGCTGTGTCGCAACGGTGCTCCGATGATAGAAGCTGCCCATGGCTCGCAATGAGCAGAGCGAAACGCGACAAGTCTGGGTACGTGTAGACGTTGCCACCCGTGGACGCAGAAGTCGTCAGTGACAGCCCGTCTGCGTCAATGACCAGTTCCGCCATGTTGTTCTGAAAGTTCTCACAGGTCAATGCTGGCCGGAGGAGCAGGACGTTCAGCATCTGGATGTAGGACGCCGCGGCTTGCAGCATCGTGCGCAGCAATGGGTCCATCAGGTTCGACCATGCCAAGCTTTCGCTCCAAATTAAAGAGTTCCACATCTCGAAAAGACGATACCAGTCTAAACCTGAGCTCTCCAAGCGGTCCCCGTCTTCGCGCAAGCTCCAGCGGCAGACCTGCGAGGCCAGAATCAACAGGAGAGCTGCCGGGCATGCCTCGTAAGTGGAATCCGCGTCGTCCACCCACTGCCTCTCCATGACTTCCCATTCCGGCGAAGCGGAAGGCAAACCCTCATACAACAGTCGATCTGCTGCCTCCGCAAGGTACTTGGTGATGGGAACGTCGGCCCCTTGACAAGGAGACGGGGCATTCGCAATTCCGTGCGACAATTGGGCCACCTTGTCGTCGAGCCTTGCAAAGCGATCCGGCGAACAACATGTTTCCCGAGAACCATGAGCCCAGCCATTCTCCCAACAGTCCGGCAAGGTCAACGAACTGCGCCAATGCTCTGGTTTGGCACAACACAAGAAGTACTGCGAATACGCAAAGCCTGTCAACCAGCAGTCGCCCCGTGATTTGCGCAAAGCCGCCATGCCAGCGCCGAATAGCAAGCGGAAACCCCTCAGAATTTCAACATGATCCACGATGTGCCAGAAAATACGATGATAGCTGTGGTGAAAATTTAATTTGAGCAACGCTCCTGAAATCATTGTAACAAACTCGGCAAACAAAGCCAAACTGCCTGCAAAACGCTGAGTGCGATGGCACTGGCGCGTAATCATGCTGACGACTTCTCCACACGCACCCACACAAGCTGTCTACCACACGGCACCAAGCGACCTCCTTGCTGCCTGGCATGACCTCTTCTGACCCAAACATCTTTAGGCCAGCGACCTCGTCTTGCACGGCACCACTCCCGGCAGCCTCTCAAAGGCAAAACCGATCAACTGTTGGAAATCCCTAATTTGTAAACCGTTTTTCTGAAGGTTCTCACATTCCTTGAACATCCTTAAACCTAATCCTTAAACCCTAAACCCATTAATTAAGGAGGACATTGGGGTTGAGGTTCAGGCCAAGGATGCTAGGGCTGATTGAACTGAGGCTGGGAGTGGGACAGGGGGCCCCTAAAATCCTATAACCGACCCCAAAATAGTTGGATTCCTTTAAAATACGGACCCCGAAAAGGTACCCCTTTTTGCAGCTGGGACTCTTTGATGCCAGGCAAAGCTGCTTAGAAAAGGTACCCCTAATTTCGGAAACCCTTCTTTTGAGATTGGGGTTGAAGTTCGGAGCACTTGTTGGGCGCGGGTTGCTAAAAGGGCGGGGCAAAGCTTGCAAAACACACGCGACGGTCACCGTGAATTATCACTGTCTGGAAGGCTGAAAGGCTGGACATGTGAATTGCAGGGTGTAGTTCCTCCAAGTGACTATTGTATGTCCTTCATTACGAAACGGGCCTGGAATTAGTTGCCCACATAAAAGTAACCATCGAACGGCGTTGTTGTAACCGTGTTTGTTTGTGCGGTTTGCTTTGAAGTTTTTTCTTGCTTACTAATTACGCCGTGGGGTTTTTACCTGGAGGTGTTCTTTCTTTTTTTCGGTACCTGTTGCGACATCCCCGCCACTGTATTGTTCCTATTTCTGTGCCTGCTAACAGACCCCGGCACCCCAAGCTCAAAGGCTCAAGGGATTACGGCCCTTGATTCGGACGCCGCACTTGCAAAAGTTCCGGTTCGGAGTGGCAAATCCAAACCGTGCGCAGCGAAGGCGCCCACGTCGCTGCATGGGACGAAGCCATGCCAGGTCCACCCGATTCGCGCTCTCGCGGCGATGAGCCGGTCGATTTCTTGCAACGCGCCGCTTCCCACGCCTGTGATGAGCGCGCGCTCGAGACGCACCTTGTTCTTGCTGATCTGTCACCGGCCTCTCGTGCGCACAGCGCCCGCAGCGGCAGCCGGCGGGCTTCAGCGCAGCGGCAGGCGACTCGGTCCGTCCGGGTCACCAAAAGCCAGGACGGCAGCCAGGGTCGGCAGGCTGTCTTGCGCCGGCCCCACTACCGCCCTTGCCCTCCCCAGCGCCGTTGAGCCGACCGCCTGCTGGCATGCGACGGACAGGGCGCTCCACCACCTGCGTGCCCAGGCGACGCCGGCAACCGCGCGCAAAGGTGCCGGGGCGCGGCAGGCCCGCAAGCGGACCAGGCGTCGCACCACTGACGCAGCCTCGGCGTTCCAGCGCCCCCCGACCTCACAACCAAGCACGCAGAGCTGTTGCGCCCCCCCCTGTGCGAGCTCGGGGTAGGTGGCCGCCAGGTGGCCCGCTTACGCCGCTCGGCCGTGCGCAGCACGGCCCCGTCACGGTCTGCGGCTCCGCAGTGGGGCGTGCCATCCCTCGCCAGCGGCGAGACGAGTGTGCCGTAGATGACGAGGTCCAAGCGGCGACGGTCGCCCGGGGGTACTCCAGGCGCGGTGGTATGGGCCAGCCATTGCTGCGGCACCACTTGGCCCTCTGGCCCCCACAGCCTCGCCCGCGACGCGCACCCAGGCGCGCTCGACGACTTTGGCACGGCGCGCAAGCAGGCCCGTGCGGGGGCAAGCCAAGGCGTGGTCGCCGTGCTCATCGACAAGGCGGCCACACCCCGGGGTGGACTGCCCGCCATCCCCACCGCAACGCCCTGCGGCCAGCGGAAGCGGCAGGCGGAGGCGTCGCCTCAGTGCGATCTGCATCATCTCCGGGGAGAGCGTCGTGTGGGGGTCACTTGGGATGGCCGTAAGCCATGCGCCGGCGTGGGGCCCAGCCTGTGAACGCACAAAAGCGCGATGAGCGGGCGACAAGGAAGGCAGCAACACGCGGTCGCGGAAGAAACGGTTCCGAGTACGCGACGCGTGAAACTGCCATCCATGCACCCGCCCGCCAGGCTCAGTGGCGTCGGGCTCGGGTCCCGGCGGTCTCGCCCCCCTAGCAACCCGCGACCAGGTCGGCACATCGACCCAGCCTTCGTGGAGGAGTAGCTGCCGACCAGCCTCGGCGGCTCGCAGGCATGCTGGGCCAGTGCCATCTTGGAGAGCCCGACCGCCCATGCGGCAAACCTGGGGCAGCGGGCCTCGGAGACGGCGAGCGAGTCAGCCCACGCAGCCCAGTAAGCTGCGTGGGCTGCGCGTGTTGCCTGAGTGAGACCCAGACCTCCTAAGCTTGCGGGCAACAGCGTGATGGCGCGTGCCGGGCACTCCACGTCCTCGGCCGGCTCGCCAACACAAGCTTGCAACGTGCCCCACACAGCCGCATCGCGCGCCGCAGCGTACGGCTTGATCGACTCGGGCGGCACAGTTCGCAGGGCGTGGTTGGCGCGCGGCGAGGCGCAGTACGCCAGGAGCAACCACGCGCACTGCAGGTCGGGCAGTAGGGGGAGCTGCCGCAGGAGCTCGTCTTCCTTCGCCACGCGATCCCGCCCCCACGCCTTTATGAACTCCCACGGGGCAGCCCAACGCGACTATGCCGCGTTCGAGCAACGGCTTGTCCCCGCGCCACACATCGTCGCCGAGGTCGCGAACCCCCGGCGGCGCTGGTCCCCCGGAGAAGTTGAACGCGAGTCTTGCCCAGGTTGGCCGCGATCCCGGTGTGGGCCTCAACAGACGCCGTTGCCGTATCGAAGGCTGCACGGGACCGTGTTGGGCACTGGAGCACGAGGTAGAGGTCATCCAAAAACGCGAGGAGTTCCTCACCATCCTGAAGCCTCTCAGCCGCGTGCTGCAGCCCCGCATGTTGTCCCAAGGCGAAGAGCGCGGGGGCCAACGGGTCCCCTTGCTCGCATCTCTCGCCCTGGAAGATGCTATGGTGCTCGCCGCTCTCGTCCCACCAAAGGTATTCCGAGGCCTGACCGTAGAAAAGCCGGGCGAAGGGGACGAGAGCGGGCGCCACTTCATGGAGCTTGTGCAAAAAAGCAGCGCGGGAAATGCAGTCGTATGCGCTGCGACCGTCTAGCGAGACGACGGTGGTCTGAGGGTCGCATTCGAGAGCGGCCCGCAGCTTCGCTGTAAGAGCGTCCATGCCCGCGCGAGTGCTTAAGGCATATTGGAATGCTCGGGTCGCCTCATCGAATGTGGCAGCGTGGGAGGCGGCCAACGTGCGGGAAACAAGCCGCCGGAACGTGTCGCCAGTGGCGATGCCACGGACCCCGCCTCCAGGCTTCTGGATGGCAGTCATGCGCGCAAGCGCAACGCCGGCAGCGACTTCCTGGGGCACGCGAACACGGGGCGAGGAGGGTGGCAGCCTCGGCCAGCAGTTCCAGAGCATCGGCCTGATCTAGCAGGACTTTGTAGTGTTCGGCCCGCGCTCCCGACAAGCCCGGCGCGCTGCCGCGCTTGCAAGCACGCAAGCTGCGCGCGATGGCGGCGGCCGAGATGTGTACCTGGGCAGGAGGCCGGAACTGGAGAAGCTCATCAGGGATATCCTGCCTGGGCCGAGCCGGTCTCTTCGTCACGTCCGTCAGCGCCGCGAGGGTAGCCGCATCTCCGGGTGCCAGGGGCGCAAACGTGAGGTCGTGGCGGGCGCGTGAAAGCTCGCCGTTGCGGACTTTAGCGCATGCGACCTCGCGTCGGTGGGCCGCAGCAGCCTCTGCATCGGCAATGTTGCTCGCTCCGCGGGCGGGCCGATGCTGAGCGCGCGCACAATCCAACAAGGCGGGCCATTCGGCACCGATGCCGCTGCGGGGGCATGCTTGACCTATACAGCGACCCCCGCTCGGTTTGCGCGCAAGTTGGGGTGCTGGCGCGGGGTCCAGATCGCCGTCCACACCACGCTGGTCAGCCCAGCCAGGCGCAACAGGCAGGTGCGCGCAGGCTGCGAGAGGACGCTGGGGCTTGCGCTGCAACACGCAGAGAATACGCAGAGGAGCGCAAACGCCGCACCTACCCCGAACTGCAGCCTCACGGGCGCGGCCGGTGCCGCCTCGTGGTCTTCGGGCTCGAGGTCGAAGGGGGCGTATTGGCGGGGCTGCTCCGACGGCTGGCGCGGGCGCGCGGCGCGGCGCGGGCACCGTGGAGTGCGGGGCCGCGCATCAAGGACGGCCATGGCCGCGCTCGCCGCCCTCACCGCATGGAAGCACGCTGCTCGAGTTGCCCGCGCAGCCACAGGATGCCGGGGATGGGCAGGAGGTGCCAATTGGAGAGCTCCTCGCCCAAGAGCCAGTGCGCGGCCCAATGGACCGCCGGCTGGCTCGCTGAGCGGCAGTGGGCCCCCCAAAACACCGACCCTTGGATCATCGGCCGGAAAAAGGAGCGTGGAAAAAAACAAATGAAAAACAAATACCCCGCCATTCCCCCGCCCGCAGTGTTGCTACGCAGCTGCGGACTGCGGCGCAGTCATGCTGCACTGCGCAGTCCGCTGTGGATTTGGGAAACCGACATGCCCGATGCCGAGTACCGCATCGTGCTGCTGCGCCGGCTGAAGCCACCGCTCATTTTTTTCGCGCCTTTTGACGCCGGTCACGCGGTCCCTGTGCAGGTCGACCAAGTCCTAGGCGGAGAGGCCGAGGACTCGGCAAGAAGGTGGCTGGGGAGAGGCCGCTCATTCCCGCGCGATGCCCGTGCGGCGGCAACCTCGACGTATTGGGGGACCACCAGCGCGTGTGCGCGCTGGTCGGGGGGTTAGCCCGTCGTGCTGGCCCCCTCGAACGCGCTGGCGACGCCGGTTCCGCTCGGTTTGGGGGATTTGGTCCCACGCTAGCTTGCCTCAGCGCAGCACGCGGCAATGCCGAGGCCCTAGCTGCCACCAGCCGACTGCGGAGGCGCACGCTGCGTCCAGCACACGGGGACACGTGGCAACGGAACGGGATGCTATACGGGTGGCAGTCGCAGCTTGCGATGAGCGCGCTCTCCATTTCTCACATCGACAACTGTTGTGCCGTGCCTTCGAAATTCTCTTGCCACCCGATCATCTCCGTGTGCTCCTATGCGACATGCGGCTGCCTGTCCCGCTCGCGACGCGCACCGCCCTTTGCCGAAGTCACCTCGAGCTCTTGCTCAGCCTGTGCAACGTCCGGGGCGTTAGCATCTAGAGCCCTCCCACTCGAGCATGCCGTTTGCTAACACCGTGATGCCTTTTTTTTGCCAAGCTGGGGATGCCACCGCTGCACAACACCTCACAAAGCTAACGGCCGCATCTTTTTGTTGCGAACGGTTTTTCCAAAAGACATCATTGCTGATGGCCATATACTCAATCAACTTCAAGATGTTTTGTTGCCATTTGCAGTTTGCTTCCGAATGCTTCCGACTTGGACTCGGTCGTTTCCGCTTTCCGCGTAGTTGGCCACACAGGGCCACATTCATCACGCAGTCTCTCACACGATAGTGAGCTGCGGTGGGGCCAGATGCATGGTCTCGCCAACAGATGCATCACCTGCACGCATCCACGATGCTTGCCCTGGAGAATAAACTGCGCGACCCAATGCCTTCCTGCTATCTACCTTGCCCTAGAGGCTCAGAAAATTTGTTGGGTACTGCGGGCATTGGATGATGCACTCGAGATGGCATGAGCATGATCCGGCGATATCCGGCGACACATGCGTCATGGGATGACTTTGTTCCAATGACACGCGATATGATGGATACGCAAGCACTGACGCAGATAGGGCGACCAGACCTAATTACGTATGGAAGGCACTTGTGTGGTTGCGTTTGCGTTTGCTTCATGCTGGCGGTGCGGGTGGTAGTCGCCATGGCCGCAGCCCCCATGTTCGGCACGGAGTCCTGCGGAGAGAACTCTTTTTGCCGTCGTTTCAACGGTGGACATACATCTCTTGGGATGCTCTGCAGCAACATTCGCTTGAAGGGCGATCGGGCCACGTGGCACATGCGCGTCTCCTGTTGTGAATGCCCGGCAGGATACCGTGGCGTCACGGTCCTTGGACACGGCTACGCCATCTCCGTCTCCGCCGGTCGATCGCCGTAGCGGCAGCTGCGAATGGGTGTTGCCCAGGGTTATGCCACGAACCTGCCGTCGCAGGGTCCTGGATGGCAGCGTGAACGCGTGCGTGGGCGGTCACGGTATCCGGGGGCACCGTCCGCAAGGCGTGGTTGGCCCGCGGCGAAGCACTGATCGCGAGGAGTAGCCACGCCCACTGAAGGTCTGGGAGCTGGGGCAGCTGCTGTCGGAGCTCCCATTCCGTGCTCATGTTCTGCCTATGCCGCCACGTATTTGCCAATGGCCCGAGCGCGCTCGCACGTAGTCAGTACAAGTCATCGACGAACGCAAACAAGCTGTCAGAGGGATGGAGGACAATGGCGGCCATGCACAGGGCACCGAGGGCTTCCGTGTCCTTCCCTACAGCATGCGATTGCGCGCGTCGGAACCGTAGTTGCATTGTCTTCGTGTGCATACATGCCAGCTGGATTAGCTGGGGGCATCATGGTGAACTTGCATTCTGGATCATTCTTGCCATAAGATTTCACAGGGAAACACAATCGAAGACTCGCGTGTCAACCGGCATGTGCCATGTGCGGTCTTGCTAAATTTGAGGTTTGGGTGGCAGGCCAGGCACGGAAAATGCAGTGAAAGGTGGCCGGCCGTGAAACAGAACCCCAGGCAAGAACGGCAGCAGGATGCAGCAGGGGCAGCTTGTGGTTACCCCGTGCGGAACCGTGGTGGTTTGGAAAGTGGACCAACGGGAAATATACGATGCCGCATGCTGCTTGGCTTTGTTGCGCATCAAAAGCGGAGCACGCGACCAATGTGGACGAGGGGGCGACGAACCGGGGCACCGTCCGAGCTCCAGCTGCAGCTCGATCCCAAGCGTGACGGACGCCAAGCTCCGTTTCAAATCCGGGCGGACTACCGGGCAGGACTGCACCAGCTATGCGGCGCAGCCACGTGGCGTCGTGTCGATTGCTGAGGTTATACCTGCGCGCCGCTCGAGAGAGGCTTCAGCGTGAGGTACGCATCAAGGCAAGACATGCCCTGCGCCACAGCCGGCCAGCAACCCGTGGTCTTGACGTCCTGCGACGAATTCGCGGAAGCCCCTGTGGGAGCTGAAGAGGCACGTACACACAATACGTTGTTGGCGCATGTTGCCACACAGCTCGCACATGGAAAGCGAAGTTCGGAACATAATCTGTGCGAATGCCGCTCCGCCGCAAGACGCGCAGATCGCCATGCGGAACGCAGAAGTGTATTTCGACAAGCGGCAGCTGTTTTCGTGGTCGCATTGTTCACCCTTGCGCTTCATCTTCTAAGCAACGCTCGACTTGGTGCGGGTGTGAATCGGAATGGGCCTGAACGCCGTGACGTGCCACTGCTATCTACAGTAACGCATGGGCGAGATCAGGCTGAAAAACCCCTCGTGGTTCCTCGGAGTTCCGTCGCCGATCTGGTTTTCGCTTCATCGAAACCATTCCCAAGACGGCGCTGTCTGTGCTGCACTTCCCGTATGCGGGCACCTCGTGAGACACCACGTGCACCACTCTTGCGTGCTAACTTCAAACGACTTGAAACCTGGTCGGGCTGCGCGTCTGGGGTTCTGGGTTTAGAATGGGTGCGTGACTCGAGTGCAAAGTGCACGCTTTGGGCGCTCTTCTTTGTCGGTTGGCCACGCATTTTTGGTCCGGATTGGTGGCAGCCAGTCCAACAAAAGTAATGGTCTACACTTCAGAAGGTTTTTAGATTCAAGGACATGGAGAGCGGCCACCGCACCGCAAAGAAGCCTATAAAACCTTCTAAGAACGTTGGGTGCTTGGAGTGGGTAGTCATAAGTAGAGTTCCAAGTATGGAAACTTGCTTATATAACCCCATTTATGACCCTACTTATAACTACCCCATGAACCTCCAAGTATCCCTAAACCCTAAACCCTAAACCCTAAACCCTAAACCTTAAACCTTGACAGCACCCATGAACCTCCATGCACCACAGAGTTGGACACAAAACCCCCGATCCTGCGAGCCTTGCCCGCATCCTCGCCCTGCCCAGACGTCTCTGGTGCCTGTCAATGCTCCAGAAGGAGACATATATAAAGATATATATATATATGTAAACATATAAAAAATAAATGAAAAAACATAAATGCATAAACAAATATTGTATACCTATCTATATAAAATTATATATATATATATATATATATATATATATATCTGACTAACCCCCCCCCCCTATTTTACATTCTACAAACGTAGATGCCTCGGGCAGATTCGAGTTTGTCACAAAGCCCCTTGCTGATTGCGCGCCTTCTTCGAGTCGCTGGCATGGCGCACTCGCCCCAGGCTGACGCCCACCGGAGAAGTGGCGCAGGGAGAGGGGCGCCGCCAAACGGGCAACGCGGCCGCACGCAGGCCTTGCAACGCACGAACTCGAACGCAACACCGAGTTGATCCCAACCGGCATTGTGAGACAGCAAGGGATCCACTTTCTTTGCGGCCCTTCCCTTGACTACTCATACTCACTTCCGGGTCACAGCCACAGGAACTTCCGGCCTCCCAGCACATGGCGTGAGCAGCGCAGCAGCGGCGCGGCAACCAGCTGCCGGGCAGCGGCCATTCTCCCGAGGTGAGCTTCTGGGGGGGGTTCGGGGATGCTCGGGCATATTCGGGGGGATGTTCGTGGGGATGTTCTTTCTGGCCTGGGGATTCCGTTGAACGGGCCGCCGACTAGAGTGCAGACTGTTGGATGTCTGTTGCTGACCCCCATCAGAACAAGAAACAGCTTCGCTCCGGGCCACTTGCTGGATCACAGCTGCGGCGGGTCACTCACCCATCTTCACCCCACAATGCGAACCGAAGAAGCAAGGCCCGAAAATCTAAGCTGGGTCCCCGCCACTAAATCTTCAAACGTTTACTTGCTGGGAATGCCGGAATGGGGCGTCATTCTGTCAGGCGTTTGGTTATTGAATGTGCTTACTTCCTAGGTCCCAACTTTTTGGACAAAACAGGGGCTGTGGAAAACCCCACAATTATTAGGTTGTTTGAAAAGCTCGTTGTTTTAGCTCCTTGTTTTTACGTTTGATGAGTGGTCTTAAAAAGCATGTTCACAGAAAAACATGACTGCTTGTGACAGCACAAACAACCCTGCGCAGTATGTCGGGGTTCGCAGAAGCAAAAATGCCGTAAGTATCATTTGGCATATGCGCGACAGTCCCGAGAGTTCCAGACACGTCCAACATCCTGCTGAGGTGTGTTGCGCAAAGAGGCAAACACGCTACACATGCAGGGGAGGACCATATACACCACGAGCACACAGAAAGCAAGGCCACGCACCACCGACATGCCCACGACACAGAGATCAGCACTAATCGCAGCATTTACGGCACGACGAGGCCACAAGCACAAACGCGACCCTGCCTTGCTGACACGTCCTCTGCGACAGTCAACTAACGAACCCTAAACCCTAAACCCTAAACCCTAAACCCTAAACCCTAAACCCTAAACGACACGCAGCCGGGACATGAAACTCCCAGATGAGGCTACGACCTGGGCGCGACCAAACATCACCGACGTCTGCCAGCGACGCACGAGTCATCATCCAAATGAAGCACGCAGGACACGACAACGACAAGACCCCAGGCTCACTTCCGGGCCAGGTGAACCCTTGCAAAGGCGTTGTGGACGCTTGGCAGACGCGATTTAGAACACCTCCCCAACACCTGGAGCTCGTCGCTGTCCAACGCTTTCTCGTTCAACCAACTCCAGAGACTTCCCTGCCATTTCTTCTCTTTGACGTGACACGATTAACTCATACGAAGGTTTTCTTTTGCGGTTGAAGTTCTGGATGCTCAAGTGACAACCCATCCCAGGGCCCCAAAGCCCCAAACCCTGCGCCATCTTTTTTTCAGACCGCTCCGTCAAGCTCAGCTTCTCAAGACTTGGTCCCTTTTGAAATCACTATTATCCAGCAGCCCCGGATTACTCGGGCATCCAAAGAGGGGACCCTGAAATTTAGAGAAGTGACCAGTTGTGCAGGTGTGTGCTCGCGTCTTCTCACCATAGGCCCACCCTGGCCAGCAGGGGACTGGATTTTGGGGACATGGGCTTTAAAGTGGCTGTCAGTCAAACTCAAACAAACCCAAACCCCTCCTTTGGGGCTCTGCAAGCCTCGCCGATTCGCGTCGATGTCCGGCTCCCTGGACCTCGTTAGCTCCAACATGCCCATCAACGTGCTAGAGGAGTTGCGTTTCGGGTTCAGAGTTCAACAAGGCTTAGGGTTTAGGGTTTAGGGTTTAGGGTTTAGGGTTGAGGGTTGAGGGTTGAGGGTTGATGGTTTAGGGTTCAGGGTTCAGGGTTTAGGGTTAGGGTTTAGGGTTTAGGGTTAGGGTTTAGGGTTTAGGGTTTAGGGTTTAGGGTTTAGGGTCTCACTTCCCAGAATTCCTGACCCCGCCTTGTTGGAGAACCCTAAACCCTAAACCCTATAGACCCTAGACCCTAGACCCTAGACCCTCAACCCTCAACCCTAAACCCTAACCCGACGGGTTAGCATGCAGAGCTCACGGATGGAGTCGCAAGCGCTGCTCAAGACGCGTCCAAGATGTAGCTGCCTGCCTGCTCCGCCCTTACCTGAACCCTACACCCTGAACACCCAAAACCCGAAACCCAAAACCCCAAACCCTAAACCAATCCCCAATCATCCCCTAATCTAAGAACGCCCTGGGCTCAGGGTTTAGAGTTCAGTGCCTGGGGTAACTGTGCGTGGAGATAATTCCCAAAGAAGAAACCTTTTTTATCCGCGGAGTGCCACAGGGGGCGGTACCCGGGAGCAGAAAAGTCGGCAGCCCCTGCGGGCGGGGAAAACACGCCGAATTCGTTGGGGCCCTCAGCCCCAAACTCCAAACCCTAAGCCCTAAACTGCAAAAGGCCGCCCTCCAAAAGTTGAAGAAGCTCCAGTCAGAGGAAGGAAAAGTGAGGACGCAGGGGGTCCAACTAGGCTACATAGAGTTTAAGGATTGGAGGGATTGAGGGTTCATCGAGGTTGAGAGGGCAGATGTGTTGGGAGGGTCTTGGGCCTTACGGCTCCTTACCTAGGCCGGCGAAGGCCCTGGAAACATGCACAGCAGCTCCAATTGGCAGTTGTCCCACGCGGCCGTGCACCCGTAGGAGGCACCTGCGACCGCAAGCTTCTAAAGTGGGTTTGGGATTTGGGGTTTAGGGTTTAGGGTTTAGGGCTTCTCGCCGCGCCGCGGCAGTAGATTTCATGCGGAGATGGCGCCCCAACACACCCAGGGGGTGTGAGGGGGCGGCATATGTCGCGGCGGCGTATATTGAAGTTGGGGCCACCACAGCCAGAAAGGTTGGGTTGTTTTATTTTTCCCACCCCCTGCTTACGCAGGCATCCACCCAACTTTTTTCCTTTTAGGGTTTCGGGCTAACGCCCTAAATTCCCACTTCCCACCCCCATCCTTTGAACGGCTGGGTAGGAGAGGTTCGGGCAGGTGTCCAGCAGTGAGGGGGACCCCGTCCTTTAACTCCGTTCTTAGAGCTTCTTGTGGAGGTCGTAGAGTTGATGCTCCGGCTTGTTGCCTAGGATTAGACGTCGCTTGGTCAGAGGCTTTGGCAAGGGGTTTTGCATCAATGCTTACACCCCAACCCAAATGTCAACCATGCTCAAGGCATCAGATTTGATTATGATTATAGTCATTCTAGCAGTTCATGGAATTCGTCGTTTTAATTGCCCTCTTACCGTCTGTCGGCCCAAGGAGGGCCAGGGTCGGGGGGGCCAGGGCTAGAGGGGGCGTCAGGAGGGCCAAACAGGGGCCAGGCGGGGGCCAGTCACGGAGGGTTACGTGGGTCTTTGAGCAATCGCCCAGGCCCTCTGGTCCCTTAACACGCAACCAACGCGCAGAAGCCTTCTTTGACAATGGGAAAAGGGGGGTGGGGTACTGCACCGGCACTGGAGGTGCAGCTCACGCTCAACACAACTCTTTAGGCTTGCATAGTAAGTCCAAGCGATGGTGTTAGTCGCTGTCGGGTGTAGTGCTGGGTCCAGGCAACCTAGAAAAGGGTGGGTACGGCCTAAGCAGGCCTGGGCGGGAATTTAGGGTTTAGGGTTTAGGGTTTAGGGTTTGGGGTTTAGGGTTTAGGGTTTAGGGTTTAGGGTTTAGGGTTTAGGGTCCAAGGAATCAGAGAGCTTTGGGTTGGCTTTGCAGCTTGAAGGTTTTCGAGTCTTTTGGGGGGGCGGAGGGGGGGGTGACGCTAATGGCCTCCTCTGGGCGGGTCGGTAGGAGCTCGCTAGCGCAAGGCAGCTCTGCCGAGACGGTTTTGGACGCCTGTGCTGAGCGGAGGTACCGACAGAGGGCAAGTTCGGCCAAAGGAAGCAGTCAGAAGCAAGTCATAGTCGTTGCCATGGCCATGTTCAATGGTACATAGTAAGGAGTAAATAGTACATAGTGTCTAGTAAACGCAAACAGTGAACGGTAGAGAATCATACCCAGCAAACAGTGAACAGCAAATAGTGATATATCTCAAGTGCACAGAGTCAGTAGTAACGCGTACATATTTCTAAGTGGTAACTGTCAAAAGGCAGATAGTCAAACAGTCAAAGCAGGCATTTGTTGTTTTATGTGTTTTTCGACATATGTGTATTTTATTCTATTTACCCCCGCCCCGCCCAACCCCCCGCACAACCCCCCCCCCCCCCCCCCGCCCCACCCGCCGATCAGCGACACTGCACCAAAAAAACAAAGACGTATATGTATGTGTGTGTATACATATATATATATATGTAAGTACATCGGGTTGTGTGTGTGTATTCTAGAACATGTACGGCCACGAGCTTGTGCAAAGGGAAGCGTGCAATCTGGCTTTGCGCGACTTCTGGCATTTCGCGACTACTGCTGCATAAACCAAATAATCAACAGCCATATGGCAACTTTGAACCGAAAGCTCAAGCTGACGTAGCGGGCCTCGCCGCCGGCGCGGCACAGGAAGGCTGCGAGCAAGAGAAGCCTGGAGCACCAGCGACTGCCCCAGCAGTTTCCTCTACGACCCGCTACTGCACGAAGGGTTTCGGGAACCTGGCGAAATTTGAAGGGGCCTACAAGGTTTCGGGCTTCGGGCATACCCTACACCGAACCTTTAGCTGAGGGGCAACGAGGAGGCCGGGTTGGCGGCAGCCAACGCAAGGGCACAGAATGCCAGAGGAAAAACATCCGCGAGGCCTCCGGCAGGTGTCAAGTAGGAACTCTCAACCCTAAGGTTGGGATGTTCCCCCTTCTACTAGACAGTCCTTGATGGAGATTCTAGTTTCTCGTATTAGAATCCCTATCAAGGACTGTTAGTATAAGGGGAACATCCCACATGTAAGGTCCCAAACCCTGTTGGGGTTCCTAAGTTTAAAACCTTCGAACCCTTCAAGCCCTGAAGATCTGAAGCAAGAACCTGCTCCTGCCCGTCTTCGTCCACACCAACACGGGCTAGGCGAGGCGTCTGTAGATTTCGGGAAGCTCAGATCAGAGGGATTGGCGGCTGATGTTGTTGGGAATTGCAGAAATCATTCAGGAACGTCCGCAATCCCTGAACCCATCGAACTGAAACCTGCCTGAGCACCTGGCA